CCATGCACTCGATGTCGGTGGAGTACAACCCATCGGTGCTTGCCGCTTCCGCACTTGTCACTTCTTCTCTGCATGTATGAGGTCATTCTCCCGCACTTTGGCAACTGCCTTCGAGATCAGATTGCGCCATGCACGCCGATCAGCCGCCTTCGACTCCCATGACCTACAATCAAGATTAGAACGTGAGAGGCTCACTTTGATCATGTCCTGGTAACGTGACTTTGGTTTCCCCACATACCGCTTCCCAATACTCAGCTGACCGTATGAGAGTTGTTTCGGTATCCGCGTTGAATCCATACGGCTCACATGACCGAGCCACCTCAGGTGTCTCAGCACAAGTATGCAGTCCGGTGCATACATTCCACTTCGGCCCAGCACCTCCGTGTCTGCAACTCTGTCGTCCCAGCCGATGGGCAAAATCCGTCGCAGACACTGCTGATGGAACCGCTAGAGATATTGCACATCCCGCCGGTACATCGTCCACGTCTCACTGCCGTATAGAAGAACGGACAGCACCATGGATTTGTACACCATCAGCTTTGTGCCAATGGTAAGCTGATGATTGTTACACATTCGGTACTCTAGCTTCCCAAATGCCGCCGCTGCCTTCTAGACGCGGATACGAAGCTCACTGTGTAGCTACTGGTCACTCGACATCACACTCGCAAGGTAGCAGAAGCGGGAGTTGGTTTCCAGTACATCATCACCAATGCTAATTTTCGGAAACTGCGAAGATTGCAACTCCGGTGAAGGCTGAAAGAGACAGACAGTTTTGCTTGTGTTGATGGTGAGCCCGATTTTGGCCACTGTCGAAGCCAGAGCACTAGTCATGTGCTACAACTCATCCGCGCTGTGTGGAAACAATGCACAGTCGTCAGCAAACAGCAGCATACGGATAGTTGTCTCACAGACTAGAGTTCTCGCACCGAAACGACGGATGTTCAGCAACCCACCATCAATACGGCGCTCCACACGAACACCGTAAGCACAAGCCGCATCAAAAGCACAAGACATCATGGCATGGGGATATATATTAAACAGGGCAGGAGCTAAGACACAGCCTTGCTTCACAGCAGTGACAACTGCAAAGTCATCCGAGGTCTCTCCACTCAGCTGCACCCTCGCCCGAATACCACTGTGCAGACATTCAATTAAACTTACAAACTTACGCGAGCAACCAAACTTACCCAACACCAGCGACAATGCCTTGCTGTTCACCGTATCAAATGCCTAGGTGAAATTAACAAAAAGCAAGTACAATGTTTGGTGTCGTTCTCTGCACTTCTCCTGCAATTGAAGAGCCGCAAACGCCATATCTATAATGCTACGACCCGAACGGAATCCACACTGCTCTTCTGCCACGTTAGGTTCCACAACCTGACTGACGAGGCGGTTGAGCAGGATTCGGGCAATCAGGTTGCCCACATAACCCAGCAAGTTGATGCCACGATAACTCGTGCAACATTGCTTGCTCCATTTACCCTTGTACAATGTTTGCACAAAGGCATCCTTCAGCTCAGGAGGCACTTCCTCCTCAACTCATACGTGTTGCACCAAGTGATGCAGCGCAGTCACCAACGCGCGTCCGCCGTGTTTCCATATTGCGGACGGGATGCCTTCAGCCCCGGGCGCACTTGTTGTTTCGCAGCTGAGCATTGCGCTCTGCGTCTCATCCAGTGTCGGCGTGTCCGACAGACTCGCCTTCACATCGTGCTGCTTGAGTCCGTTCAACATATGCCAGTCGATTTCTGAACGCTAGTCCAAAATATAGTCGAAGTGTCTCCTCCAGATCTGCATTATGTCTGCAGTCTGTGTGCAGGTAGCGCCTGAACTACCATCGATCATCGTCCTCAGCGGCTCCAATCTCGGTCCATACACCGCCTTAAAGGAGTCAAAGAATTCCTTGTGTTGGCGGCGTTCGGCATAGCATTCCACCTGCTTCGCCTTCTCCGTCCACCATGCATTTTTAATGCGACGGAGCTCTCGAGTTAGTCGCCATCGAGCTTTGCGAAACTGACTGTTCCTCCCCAAGTCACTGGAGTCTGCTACATGTGCAGCAAATGCCGCATGTTTCTCCGACACCAATGCGCCATTTGTCGGACTGTTCACATCAAACCAATCAGGCCGCTTACAGTTTGTGCGCCCGATGGTCTCCTCGGCAGCAGCTGTCACTTGGTCGCGAATGTGGTGCCACAGGTCGCCCACTGTGGCTATACAGTCCACATCACACAGGTGTGCAGCCATCGCTTTCTCTAGCTTAATAATTTTCCCCACTGTGCCGAGTGAGAGAACGTTAATTTTACGCCGATTCACGGCGGGAGTGCGATACATAGATTTACGAATATATATATATATATATATATAAATCTACAGTTTGGTACGTAACAATTTGTGATTAGTGCCACACTCAACTCCACGCAGTACATGTGTCATGCGCACTTCACGCATATAACGCTGACGTACGATGACATAGTCGAGTAGATGAGCATGACCACTCCGTGGGTGCGTCCAAGTTGCTATATCACTCGTACTCAGTGCAAACCGAGTATTCGTGATCGTCAGGCCATGGTTGGCACACAGTGAGAGAGCAGCCTGTCACCGTTCGCATTCGCTGAACCACTGCCACGCGGACCGATAACATCTGTCCACACCGATGCATCACGCCCAACGCGCGCGTTAAAATCACTCAGCAGAAATAGTCGGCTGCTTCTCGGCACAAACCGTATCACGGAGGATAGCTGAGTGTAGTACTGATCACGTGTGTCATCAGGATAACACATGGTCGGACCGTAGGTGTTTATAACGGTGTCAAACTTACCTCTTCCGAACAGTCAGCAGTCGCGCGCTGATGCCTGTTGATTCTTCCACGACCTGTCAATGAAGGCGATCGGATATTGCAAATCCGACCCCATGATCACGTGGTTCTGAGGCGGCGTTGCCCACCCAGTAGAATGTGTAGCCAGCACCGGCTACATGCAACTCACCTTTCTCAGCGAGCCGAGTCTCACTGAGCGCCGCATTATCGATGTGATAGCGCGCCAGTTCCATCGCGACCACTGCAGTGCGTCGCTCAGGGTGCTCACTCGAGTTCCGGTCCAGTAGTATGCGCACGTTCCAGCACCCGTTGCTGAGTACTTTGCGCGCAGGCATACGATTGCATTAGTGGGTATGCGCACGCGAGGTTGTGGAGGTGTTTTTGAGGTTTGCTTGAGCGACTCCGCCCGGAGCCTTTGGCTCAATAGCCTGACCCACAAGACGGTGGGGAGCAGATCCAGCTCGGGAATGTTATTGCAGAGACGGATTTGGATCTGCTTGACGGCCGTCACATGCAGCCTTTGAGGTACTGGAACGATTCATATATGTTTTGCGACCGTAGTAGGATAAGCACCTGCGACCACGGCCAGACGCAGCTGGGTTTTGGCGGGTTTGCACCAATTTGACCAGGGGCTGCCTGGCTTGAGGCGGGCAGTAGCAAACCATTGAACACCCGGAGTTGTCCTCCCACCGTCAGAAACAATGCGTGGCGTTCGTGCTGTATGCCAATCGAACTGTGTGCTTATAACCCGTAGACTTGTTGTCTCCCATGGCTAAGTTTTACGGGAAGAGGGCCATCGGTCACTTCCTAACCTCCGAAGACGATAGACTAGGATACTGGCAGGGTGCCCACACCTGACAGGAGAACGACTCGGATCCTCCGCCAAAGCATTCGATTCTCTGTATATCCGAAAGTCAGCGGGTCTAGCACATGGTCAGTTTACTGACTCATGCGGATTGGTGTCTTGGATCTTAGCAGGGAGAAGGACGAAACCCAACTCCCACCCAGCGGTCGCCGCGAGGAGCAGTCCAGGACATGAGCAAATGGCGCAACAGTTGCATCAGTGGGTAGACCATCTGTCCGGATGTAGCCATCACCACCCTCAGCGTACCTTAGGATCTCCCGCCATATATATATATATATATATATATATATATATATATATATATCCGTCCGGTTGTCAGGTCGAGTGCTTGTGTTGCTCCTTCATTGTCCTTCCAATATTTTGTGAAATGCGTCCACTTATGTAACCATTCTTTTCGTTTAAGTTTTTGGCAAGTTTTTCATTTGCTTTATTCTTGCCGCAGTTCTGTTTTGGAGCCCGGTTGTTCGATGCATTTCTGTTTTGTTTGGGGTTCCACTAATGTAGTGGGACATGTCTTTCATTGCAAATCCCGTACACTTTTCCTATCGTTCTTTCACCTTCACCCCCCAACGCACTTGTTGCTCTATTTTTCGCAAAATATGACTGTTCCGCATCCCAAACGACCGAACACAATGGTATCGTGCGTAAACTTGTATCTATTTTGTAATTACTCTCAACGGGATTCTTTTTAAGTCCAGTTGGTACATACATGCGTCTGACATTTCTCTAACACAAATCTCCTTGACGAGATTGCTTTACTTATTGATTTGAACGCTTGGTACTCATTGGTATGTAAACGCGCACTTTTTAACTACCTGGCAAGTGTTTTGATCCACAACTTCTTCAGCGAACTGGTTATTACCTAGTGCCTCAGTTCATTGTGGGTCCACGACTGTGATGAGAACACATGATTGACATGTTATACACACTGACCAGTTTTACTAATCACCCTGCTGAATTCAGAGCAAATGCTAACGAGTGCTATCGCTATTGTTGTTGTATAGCCTCTTGTTTCCACGTAGCATACTTTTCTGCTGCGGTCATTGGCAGTCGTCCTTAGATGAACTTTCATTCATGGCCGCTACAAATAGGTAAGCGAACAGCAATGCGCTCTTCAAAAAGTGCGGGGTTGTGCAACGGATCGCCATAAACTGATCTCCATTTGAGCTCCTGAAAATGTCATCTTTTTTTCTAGCACGCGTTGATTCTGTTTGTGTTGCGCAATAAAACCACAGCGTTTTCTTTGACTGCCTTTCGACTGCATTCTGGAGTTCTAAATTTGAATCGGTGACCAGTATTGTGTATTTTACTGTCTTCTAGATAGCGAAACAAAAGTAACGTTCCTACGACCATCCATGTCAGCGCCTATCTGCCAAGCCACCTCTGCAGCTCTTCATAAAGCATGTCCAAATTCTGCCCTATTCAAGGGGAACGTAGCGGCCATGAGACTTACCGATCCAAGTGGAGTGAACTCAAGTAATGTCTTCGCGAATTCGTATTCAGACCTGGGGCCGAATTACGACAAGGTATGCGTTTTGTAGGTTCCACCTGTTTGTTCTTCTCCTATTTGTTACTTACTGGTGTGGCCTTGCATGCGGACTATTCGCTCATTAATCTAGGATTACTTTGTTCGGGGACAAGTTTACGTCGTACTTGTTTCACGAACAAGATCGCAGCGTGCACTCACTGTTCCTTCCATACACCTGGCTCGCGTTTGCTGTGGCTACTTTTGGCCCACCCGGTCTTCTGTGAATGCACCATTTATTAATTACACCTCTCGTATCTCCTGCCATTGTCTACTGTAGTCTTTCCCATATATCTGCTTCTTTGATTCCCAGTAGGCTGATATTCTTTTTTAAATTAAACTACACAATAGGTCCGACCTATGGAGAGCAGCCGTCTTGCGAAAACATAATTTTGGCCTAAAGAGCTAGGATACTAATTGGAGCGGTCATTTTGAAGCATGCACATGAATGGATTGCGACGCGCAATCTCAACGTGGACCGCAACTAGAAAGTAAAGTGAACCTTGGAAGCGTAACTGATGGAGCAGGAAGATACTGAGTGTTGCTTGGTCGAAAACACTGCACTCTACAATCAGATTTGAACTTATTTGATCACATCAGGTAGAGATGGCAGGCATCGAACCCTGGACCATTAAGATGTTGGTAGTGACCGCTACCTCTGAGCCACCGGGTCAAGACGCGCAACGCTTGGGACAACGGTTAGTGATTGATATTGAAGGTCATTTTGAAGTATACGTTGTGTAGACGGATTGCGACACGCAACCTCAATGTGGACCGCGATTCTCATTGAGGTGAACCTTGGTCTTTCATGCACGAGAGCCGTAACTGAAGTAGCTAAAAATTTAATGGTGGATGTTTGTGAGTAGTGTAAAGTTCGTAGAAAGTAGAAGTCACGATTGAAATTCACGCACAATAATGTGCCTCGACGGGAAATCGAACCCCGGTCCACGAATTTAGTGTTGCCCGCTGTAAACACTGCACTCTACGATCAAGTTCGAACTTAATTGCTTACATCAGAGAGAGTTAGCAGGTTTGATTGCCTGCTGTCCCTTTCTGATAAGATATAATAATTTCGAAATAAACCGTAGAGTGCACTGTTTTCGGGCAGCTGACAGCCGATATCCATCAGCTAGTAGACTGCTTTCAATGAGGTCATGACATTCTGTCTAACGGCCGCACCCCTTAAGTCACTGATCGCGTCTCCTGATTCAGAGGCTGTTGTCATGATATAATACCGGGCACTCTAAAGGAGTTATGATTCTTGCCCAAAACTCCTCGTTACTTAAAACCGTTGGCAGCATCATGTAGTTGTGTTCATACCTGTGACCTTGTGTCTTTCTTGGCATTTCTCGGATAGACTCGGTGATAATCCAAAGACAACTGCATCTTTGCCAAACATCACGGTAGTCTGTATCCAGTGTCTACAACCGCTTTTTGTTTCCGCACATTCATTCGCAGAGGCTAACATCCTTATCTTGTTCACTTTTGGAAACAACTATTGGCTACGACAATGGCAAGCTTTCGACGTCTGCAAAACCAGGCCTTGAGTCCTCATTTTACATGGAGTCCAAAACGAGGGACTCATCAATTTTGGCACCACCTTCGCTGGAAACGCAAGCTTTCGCGAACTCTGTAGACTTGCCCCGTTCGGCAGCCAACGAACGTGATCCTGGTAACACCGTCAATTCCCTGTATGCTGCACAGGAACCCAAGAACGATGAATTCGCATTGCATTCCGCGAACCCAGTGCTAGCCTCTCGACCCCCACCTTTCAAGACAACACAGTTGCCAAAATCGCATGTAAGCCCACGGGGCCTCCGGAATGTTACCAGAGTTTGTGATCGACAGATCAATGATGGTATGTGTTGCTGTCACGGTATACGTTACATTGTGCATGTTTGCTTTTAACACACCGTCCATCGTACCGAATCGGAGGTAACAGAAGCTGAGGTTATTCAACACCTCCCAAGTTCATCTGCCTTTGTATTCCACGGTTAAGGGAGGATTGACGCTTATAATTCCTTCTGCGTATGTGAAGTGCGATCCACATGGTACCAGAATGAAATTCATCCCATAGGAATGCTTGCTTCATTAGTGTGCTTCGCTCTCCTCTATACAAAACCTACTCTTTAGGTCATATAGACCAAATGGACCACCAATTTTCGCGCGAATGCATGTTGCCAATGTGTGAGTTACTTTACTATCCTCATCTGACTTTTTATGTGAATAGTCTCAGTCATTGTCCTGCCACATTGATTGCACTTTTTTACGGTGCTGAGTTTGTGTCCAGCGGTTTGTCCATTCGTGACTTGCTATGCTGAATGAAACATGGTGTATTTCATCCAATCGCACCACCCCTCACGACTTCGCATAGATCGTGGCCAGGCTTGCGAATCTTCTCTTCTTCTGTATAATTGAAATTGGACCTTTGCTACTAAGAGTTTCCTCTCAATTTTCCACGCCATTTATCCTTCCCTTTTTCGTTTTATGACAACAGTCCTCAAAATTACTTCACCTAGAGTCATCACTAGCCTACGTGTCCGTCTACTGGACGGCTTTAGATAGGCTCATTTTGCTATATGTTGACCTGCTCTACCCATAGTTCAATGTTCTACTCTTCTGCTGAGTGCGGTTTACATTCATCTCCAATTGCTATTTTTGTAGTCTTTTCTCTATTATATTCCCACTGTTCTTCTGAGCAGCTCCTATGATTCCCGCATCTGAAACCACGAATCATCGGTCGTCCACTGTGGTATGCGAAGAGTTTAACGCACGATCGACGTACTCACCTCATATTTTCTCCGTGTCCAAGTATGCACCCTTCCCCTCAAGAAATTCCGGTTCAACATACGGTTCCGAAAGGAAGCAGCAACTACATATGTCGAATGCCGCGCCAACAGATCGGTTGCAGTACATGCTGTTTAAACACCGGTTAAAGTTAGCCCGTGCGAAGCAAGCCTACATTCTACGGCGGCGCGTGGTGCGGCAACTGGAGAGTCTTCTTCAGCAAGCCTCGTTGTTGAAAGTCAAGGTAGGCCCTGCTTTTTGCACGAAGCTCACTCACTGTGTTCTATATTGACCATAAACTAGAAAACTTACTGTTTGCAAATGTTGCAACGATTGGAATTCAAGAGGGAATGCTGACACGCTGGAATATATTATGCACTCTGCATTCTCTCATGACCGAAATACACCGAACATATTTAACAAAAAGATAGTTGCGAAGAAAGTTCTCTTCGATAAGTCTCTTCAGACATGTACAATTTTGAATCAAGAGGACATTTGAATAATAAACTATTTCTAGCTGAGTACATTCTAACCGAGTCGATTGAGTGAGGTGGCGTATTCAGTGGCGAAATTTGGATATCATCATGGATCAATTAGGCTGAAGTCAGCTGTATGCTCCATGGCCATGGCAAGGTCCAATTACGCACCAGCGCCTTCTGTTTGCATAGCTCTGGCTTCAGCCTTCTGATCGCGATGGCTTCCGCAGTTACCAGCAAATGCTTTCTGAGTCCCTTAGGGATCCGTTTAGATACAGCATAAAGCGTCTTGAAAGCGTCCTTGTTTTGAACACGGTGTCCGCTGCTCATAAGGTATTCTAAACTGGAGCTCTGAACCGTCTGGACAGCACCATGCCGTATAGAGGCAGAGCAATGCTCCGCTATCCGCCTCGACACTCGTCTGCTTGTGTGTCCGATGTACCGTGTACCACAGGTGCAGGTGAACTGATACAGAACATAGGATTCGGACAAGACCGGAATTTTGTCCTTGAGACTTTGGGCTATGAACGGAGCAATCTCGCTAAGGACGTGCACTCCGACTGCTGGGTACGTCTGGTTCACTGCGAAATAGGTGACATCGAGATCGCATTGCCAGGCATGTCCCTTTCCCCTGAAGGTTCGTCGCAGTTAGACTCAAACAGACAGCCACTACACATCCAGGAAAGCACTTTCTTGGATGTGTAGTGGCTGTCTGTCTGATTCTAACTGTGACGAATCTTCACAAACCCAATAAATCCCCCTATTACTTCAAAATAGGCATGTCCGTTGTTCGGCACCACTGATCGGGCAAAGGTGTGGGGTGGCTCTATACTTACCGCAATGATCTCCTATGCGAGCTCATAGAGGATCCGGTCAACACGGTATAGGCTTTTCTTTGGTGCTATCTACGTTTAAAAGGCGACAATGCTTGCTTGGTGATAGTCGTTTATAACCATCCGTCTTCCACGCCCGAGATGGACTTTTGTCTGGCATCTGCACTAAGGCGCAGGACAAAGAAGGATTACAGTCACTTTCTTATTACTGGCGATTTCAACATCCAGGCTCTGGAATCCAAAGCTGCTCCTGTAGTACACTCCAGAGCGTGTCTACTATAGGCTGTCACCAGTTTCCCGCTATATGAACACATCAGCAGTCCCACAAGATCCAGAAAAACTGATAGGCCGTCTATACTGGACCGGATATTTATCAGCGGCGAACTGATGATCGGGAGGGTTATCATCGACGTCCCATTGGGCCGCAGCGATCATGTAGTCCTAATCTTCGGATACATACGCTATGCAGTATATCCCGTGGAAATTGCCGACGCAACGAGAATGTATGTACACTACGACATATTAGCTCGAATAGGTGAGACGATTAACTGGAAATTTCTGGCAGACGAGGCATCAGTTTGTGCATGGGAACGTTTTGTCAGCCAGTTTAACTTCTTGCTTGCCGAAATGTCAGCGACTAAGACCTTCCGCCCGAAAAACGTGGTCTCGCTTCTGCGAAACGGAGCATGCAAGTGCATAGCGTTGCATAGCAGTACGTATGACCTCAAATCACAAGCTTCCGTAGCAACATTTCAACAGTCTACGTAAGGGAAAACGGGAAATTTCTCCTCTTCACATTGTGGACGGACCTACGCGGACATCGAAAGAGGCTGCAAATACCCTATGCCTATGATATGCTGCAACATTTCAGTGCGATTACCGGCTACATAACCTTATGCTAATGG